ATATGCCAATCAACCATGCGACATAAAACAAATAAAATGGATGGAGGGGCTTGAGCATGTATGTGCCCGAAGTCGTCTGCGTCATAGAGGGTTCTCTGGGGTGTGCTAGTGGATACTTAATGCCAGACTTCCCCTAGGACATGCTCTAAGGCGTTCGGTATGCCTGTGCAAAACGTTTGGGCTTTACAACCTGCAGGAACTCAAGATAGTGTGAGGCTGAGGTGCTTCACGACGAGTTGCCTCCTCCTACGACAAAAAAAATAATTCAAGATGGCCAACGATGAGATGCAGAGCTTTCCCTTGCAGATTCCTATCCGTCTCCGGGTCACTCCAGCTTCACAGGAAACACTGCCTGACCGTTTAATACACCTTTAAGATCCACGAGGCAAATACCGTACCGTCCTGCAGCTGCTCCTTGTGCTCCCACCGAGCCACCCACTCTGCCCCTGTTGCTGCAGAACAGCCACATTGCTTATGCCCAGCTTGTAGCAGCCAACTGATCCAACGGATCCAGCAGAGTTGGTCTCGGGAGCCACTAAGAGTGATCGATCGCCAAACTATTCCTGAATCCCAACCAACCATCAGCAGCTGCTCGTCAAGCGACCGGCGCAGCGCCCTTCAGCCAACGGCACAGAGCAGTGCTGTGGAGCAACAACACCCTCTCAGCTTTTGCGTCAGAATATCTGCTTTTGCTTGCGGCCACAAACGAGCTCCCCCAACTCCGGGCAAATCCCACAGTCGCTCGACGGGCTATGTGTTGCACACAAGCAGATAGCCTTGAGAACTGTGCGTCTTCGTCAGTAGATAGCACGATGATTATTCTCCCATCATTTCCGACGCCCACGATGCGTAGAAAAATGATGCAGAATACACAATGCACCCATTGGGAGTAGCCCATTGAGCCCCAGGTTTTGCGTTGCAGAGTTGCCTTGGTCGCGGCTGCTAGCGGGTCAGCTCTTTGAAACCCTGTGGTTCCTCGCTGCATACGATAGGGCAGTCACAACACACCACAGAGGCTTTGGTTTGGGGCGCATGGGCGTCCGCAGTGATATTGTTTTTTTTCTCTCTACATGCTATGCTTTGCAATGCTTCGTATGTGTGTGTTCTGGGAAAGCATCAATAGACTGCGCGGTTTGGCGTTCGCTAGCAGTCAACATAACTGAACTCACCGACAAGTCGAATTGTAGCAGAACCCACTATATTGTCGTCCTGCTCCGTCTTAAACGGCACGTCTCTCTCGATGAAGGATCGACCTGCAACGCCGTCAGCAAAGAAAGCAACTCGAAACAACCTAAGACCAAAGCATGACAGATTCGTCTCAACCGAAAATGTTAGCAGGCGAAAATTACGATTGCAGGAATACAGAATTCCTGAAGAAGACAATGCGTGTATGGAGAATTAAGGAAGTGATGAAGCGGTATCTTGGCCTTACTGTCTCCATTCTCGAAAAGTGCTGTCACATCCGCAAAGAAGTTTTGCATGTATTTCGCGGCGGCGTGCAGAATCTGCGGCGCAGATAGAAATCGGAGAGATATAAGCGTATGGTGAACGTCATCGAGTGGACGAACGGAACCTCCTCCGGGGAGCAATAGCCGACCATTCAGCCATTCGGGCTCGTTCCTCATGAATGTCGCCCAACTTACTTTGCCATCTGGCCAATTAGGAGAGGCAACCTGCAACGAGCACGCAATATCAAGAGCGCTTAGTGCAAGCGAAGTGAAATTAAGCAGCAGCCGCCATTTTTTGCCGGAGCTGACACACAGTACATAGTGCATGCGTGTTCTTCTCACCTCATGCGAAACAGTAATCTCGAAAGTAAAGCCTCTAAATGTTGTCGTGAATCGCTCTGTAGATTTCGCACCGCAACAGCGCAGGAAGACAGCGGCTCTAGAAGAAATCAGGTCTCTCGCCATCTAGTGTCGACATGAGGCTACTCTTCGAAATGCCACTTTCGTTGCAGTCATGGATAAGTAAAGCAACTGGAAAGCGTTCAACCAAACCCTCGCCTGCTATGCCGTCGAACCCGACGACTGTGCAAAGGGTGCGTGAATGTAGACTGTATTTAAACGCTACACCACCCGCAGAATCTGCCTGTCGCAGTTCTCACCGGAATGGCCAGGTCTGCGGTGGTGCCTAAGACTTTGAAGAAGTAGCAGCACGCCGTTCAAGTCTTCTACCGTCTGCAAACAGACGGGTGCGCAAGCATAACACCTCAAAGTTTGCGTAAGGCTGCCCAACCGCAGAAACAACAGCGGCAGCAATAACAGTACCGCCTGCTGAGTTTCTTTGGCTCTCGTCCCTTAAGCTCAAAAAGGCAAATCCGAACATTGCAGCAAACACAACTACAGGCTGCAGCCTATGCCTTTTCCTCTCTGTTTCTTGCTGCTCTCCGCTGGCTTTGAGACAGACACGACGTACATTCGATTCGCCGATTAGTGGGAAATCGAATGGCCACTCTTTCCGTAGACCAGGTAGACGTAAAACATCGATTGCTTTTACGGATGTGACTGCTCGCTTTATCCTGGTTAAGAGAGGACCAGCTGCCTCGGTAAAAGAAACTGCAGCTGTTCGTTGGGCTGCTCGTGCTTTGAGATGCGCCCTTTCGCCAGCTGCTGTAGCTTCCCGAGACCCCCAGCCGTCCGCACTGGTATGGTCTGCTTGTGCAACAGGTTGCGCTCCCCCAGCTTCCCAGCTACCCAAAGCTGCTGCTGGCGTTCGGGGCGTTGCTGGCTTCTGCTGTGGTTCCTGTGCATCGCGACTTCCTGCAGGACGCTCAGGACCCTGCGAGTCAGGCATTCGCTGCCCGGTAGGCTGTTCTGGTACAGCTGCTGGCTGTTCCCCAGACTCCCCACCCTCTGCAGCGACTGCTGGCATATCCGACAATGGAAACACAAGCTGCTGTGTCCCGCCTATCGAACTTGCCCGTGAATCTGCCCAAGCACCCTCCGCACCGGTAGGTAACCGATATGCTGGGTGTCCAGGCTGCTGCGTTGTCCCTCCTTCACTCCCTGTCGAGTATCCCCCAACTCCCGCAGTGCCTGCTGATCGAAAGGGCATTGTGCACCGAGGCCATTGTGCTGCTCCTCTTCGACCATCAGCGGAAACTCCCTTCCTTCCCGCAGCCGTCGGCGGCGCACAAGGGTCTGGCAACCCTTGACCTTCTTCCTTTTGATCTTCCCGCCCTGCAGAAAGAACAGATCCCGTTGCTCCGCTTGGCCCATCAGGCTCTGGAGCTTCGGCCTGCTCTGCCTGTTCACCACCAGCAGCTGCAGTTGCCTCAGTTACCGTAGGAGTCGCACGCCCACGAGGCTCTTCTGAAGGCTGATGGTGCGCATCATTCCCAACAGATTCTGCTGGTGCTGAAGCGTCTGCAGACTCTGGTGGTGTGTAAGGTGTACGTGGTTCACGCTGACGCTCCCTTGGAGCTTCCCTTCTTTTATTTGGACTTTTATTTGTCTTTCTTGGTTCGCACGGAGAGGCCTGCATAGGAGAAACAAGCAACCACAGTCACTCCACAGTGGCGTGTACATGGGTCACCATGCCACAGCAGATAAGAGTTAAACGCGTCAGGAGACAGGGTACAGAGGACTGGACAATGCAAAAAATGGAAGCTCATATGCGTCCCGAGGAACTAGGATGGCTCTTTCAAGTGCTTGCGCGTTCGTTTATGCGAGATGCCGTACTTGTTCCGCGAGCCTCCCCTGGGACCAGGCGTTCAAGCTCCTTTTGCCTGCTAGTTGCAATGCACAACGAACGAGGAGGAATATCACGACTGTTGCGACCACCCCATCGGAAATGATTCGAAAACTCCGGCTGGGCATCCGGCTCCTGTGACGTATCTTCGGAACAGCGAACCCGTGGCCATAGGCCAACATGTATGTCTTGATAGTTCCATCTGCTGCAATGCCTGAGTCCCCTCCATCCATTTTCTTCTATGCACGCTGTCAGGTGGCGGCAACTCTGAATTGCTCCACCAGTTGAACGAAGGGGAGATGCGGCCGCAGCAGACGACACAAAAAACGGCTAATCGAGGAGGCCTTACAGGAAGCTCACGAAACAAGCAACAATGCCCAAATTGTATGATTACCTTTGGGCTCAATAGCGAGAGATTTCCCAAATTCCAGGTCCATGAGGGGTTGGAGAAGAAGACGACCTCTCGCCTTCTGAACTGCGTCGAACGGCAAGTGAACGCGCCGCTAAATTCGGAAAAGAATTGCGATATTCAAGTGAAACCTGTAGGGAGACTTGATGAATTCTAAAAGAGCCTCGAAGAACACGCTGTCAGGCCACATGGATTCCTCCAGTACAGCTCTCCATATGCTTTCATGAGTTGCCCCTCCTAGACCGAAACGAGAAACTGCCGAATTCACGTCTAATGATGCAGTTTGTTGGATGTTTTTAAGGTGTTGGAACACGGATCCACGTGCAGTATATCTCCTCCCCGCGAGAACTGCATCGGGGATGTGTGGGTGCGTTGAAGGTACACCTGTTGCAATAAGCTTCAGCCAACGATGAAGAGAAAAAGCTAGTCTAATTGCATTGAGTAGGGGTGATGCGTGGTTCTAGGATCAGAGCGGTAGCCTAACGTGCAGTGTGATGCCCGAATGCCTGCTACGTAAACCGCCAGCCCACGTTTTCTCGTGGCAAACTTTGCCGCACAACTTTGTGTCCAGCCAGTTAAAGACGGTTTAAACATCTGGGGGTTATTCGAATTGGGGCATCTCGAACAGTTGCAGCAAAGACAGCCCCCTGTTGCCGCTGGGCCCGATGGGACAGCTTCACTTGCTCGATATCAACCATACTACGAGCGACCTACAAGACCACACAAGGGCCGTCATGTACCCCTCATTATTTACGCATTACTAAACCTCTTCTGTATTTCAATTCGGTAAATACAAAGCAAACTGAATTACGTCCTGCCTTTTCGCTGAGCACGAAGGCGAGGCCTCGGTGACTGGAGACAGTGTCTCTAGGCGTCTGTAGGCTGAAATCACACCCACCCACACAGCTATCCACCTCCTGAACTCCCTTTATTACGTCACATTTTTAGTCTGCAATTATTGTTTGTTTTCGTATCCTGGATTTCAACGTGTTTTGAATGCTTCGTTCAGCGGCTCAGAGCAAGTACGCCGCTGATTGTAGTGCCTGCCTGTAGTGCCGCGCGCGCACGAATGTCTGTGGCTGTCTGCCTTACCCCGTAGAAAGTAGGCAGCAGCATATATTCTACAAGTTAAGAAGCGAAATAAGCAACGATTATTTAATTGGAAGACCCGTCTCGAGCAGGACTTAACAGCAACTGTTTGTTGTAGCATCAGGTGCGAACAGCGAAGAGACAAGCTGGATGTGCGAGCGTTCCGTGGGTGCTCGGGGAACATTCAGTGTCGAACGGCCAGCTGAGCCGTGCAGCACTGACCCCACACCGGCCAGAACCAGAACACTTTTTCTACAATGTTTTGGACCACGCAGAACTTCCTGGGCCCTTCCTGAATCCCTCGCGTTTCCCCTCCTCAACGATACCCACGAAGAGCTGCAGATGTGGGTCGTAGTATCGTCTGCCTGAAATCTGCATCAAGTTAGCACAAGAACGTACACTTTGCCTCGATAGGCTGCCTGCAAGCAAGTACAAGTGCTCCATATGTGTGTACAGAGATAAAGCAGGCAGTAAAGAAAGCTCCGTTGCGCTCATGTGAGGCTGGATTGCATCGTAGCTGCAGCGAGCTGCGCTGCAACTCATGTCAGGCTTCCTCCTCCCCCGCAACCCTATGCCCTTAGCTGCTGTGCCCAGGATGCCCGGAAAAAGGGTGGAGAGGTTAGCTGCTTTTGGAGAGTGTTCAACACTAACTCTTTGGCTCCATTGTAGCTCGCGAAAGTCGTTGAAGCCTGAGGCGCTCCCTCTACATAGCCTACCCCCGAGCGCTCGCATGGCTCGGAATCCACCGCGAAATGTGGAATACAGACGACAAACACGGAAAAGGTGAAGGAAAAGATAGGATGAAACACCGATGCCTAGCTTTCGGGGAAGGCTGACAACATTTGTTGGGTGAATGGCTCCGAGACTGCGCAAGCTCTGTGCTCAAGAATAATCGATATGACATGCACGCGACTTTTCCTTAGAGAGCGTGCTTGTTTTGGGGGTTTCAGTAACTCAACAGATATTGAAGGGAGGCACAAACCACTGCCTGCATGACACTAGGGGCGAAATTTTAACAACCAGTTAACTGGCTTTCTTGTGCGAACAAAAAACAAGTTTCGTCTCATTCCCGCCTGAATAACTCCCCACTGGTCCGCCTACCTTGCAGTTTGCATCATACAGAACTTGAGGCACTGCAGACTGCTGCAACGGCTTAATATATAATTTTGGCATCAAACAGTATCTCGTCAGCATGTCGCTGTGCAGCATCTCCAACATTCCTTGTCGCCTAACGTTCTGCGAGCTGCATCGGCGCTGGACCTTCTTATTTTGTCAGCGTTGCACCGCTTTCTTAGCAGTAGCTCAGTAATCATAATAGATGGTGCCCGTGTGCTGTTATTTGCGTGATCGGTTTTTCTAAAGCCATCACCACTGCCGTAGGAGCACTCCAGACATCTCGGCAAGTCTTCTTAAAATGAAGAGGGAGTGCCTGAGGCGTACCCTTCAAATACTCCAAGCAGAAAGAAACGTCCAACACAACTATCGCGGTCGTTTGATGCACTGCGTGAGATGCATATAGTTTACTGCCCTTGCACGTATTAAGACTCCACATGGAGTTTCAGTTTCTTGGCCTTTATGGGTGAACCGACTTAAGCGCCATTTCATCCTCCTTCACGCACGTCCAGAAAGAATTGATCCAAGCTTTCCGCTCACATCTGCGCACCTGCTGTTTGCATCTAGTGGCGCTAACTGCCGGTTTGTCGATTCGCTCCTTCCGTTGGTCTTGCAAGGCAAGCAGCGATACAAAGAAGTACTGGGTGTAGAGGAGTTACCTAAGGTGGCCTCTGCCCGCAAATGGCTTGCCACGTCATTGTTAAAGCACTGTCCAACAAGACTTCGGAATGTGAAATTAGCGTTGGAGCGGGCGTTTCCCGATTGAACCTACTCAGGGGCGCATATCCGTCTGCATCTTGTTTGTCTTATTCTGTCTCTCTTTGGTCTGTTTTGGCTGCCTGTTCACGTGCATAAAACTGTATGCGCCTGTGTTTTTTTCGCGCAACGCATGGGAACGACAAGTGCAAAGTTAATCGATAGGATTAAAAACTGGAAGGTTTAATCCGGACAAGGTATATGCGAACCAGAAACTCAATGGGCATCCAGCATGCATGATGCAGGTGGAGCCTCAGCTCGCGACTGAGCTGTAATTAAAATTATCGTCATAATTATCAACAAACTATGTGCGAAAAATGTGATCCACACTTGGTCAATATATTCGGATGATTTATACATAAATTAACGGTAATGCCCGAGTACACGCGGGATCGGAAGAAAAAAAACCTTGTACAGCTGTAAAGTCCACTGCGCGCGCAGTTTCTCTTATGTAGCTCGTATATCCTCATAACAGGGTGAAAATGATACTCATAGTATGACTCAGCACCGGGTGTCATGCAATTCAATTTTCCACGCTGGAAGACTATACAGTGGTCGCGGACATCCTGCGCTAAACAGAAACAGTCGTTGGTGTTGTGTATACCCTCAACATATATGTATATATATATATATATATGCAAGCTTATATTTACATATACACATTATTCAGCTCCATTCTATAGGTCAATCAATCATGCGGTATAAAACAATATAAACTGGATGGAGGGGCTTGCGTATGTACGTGCCCGACGTCGTCTGCGTCATAGCGGGTTCGCTGGGGTGTACTAGTGAATGCTTAATGCCAGACGTCCCCTATGAAATGCACTAAGGCGTTCGATATGCCTGCGCAAAACGTTCGGGCTTTAAAACCTGCAGGAAATCAAGATAGTGTGAGGCAGAGGTGCTTCACGACGAGTCGCCTCCTCCTACGACAAAAACATAATTCAAGACGGCCAAGGATGAGATGCAGAGCTTTCCCTTGCAGATTCCTATCCGTCTCCGAGTCTTCCGAGCTTCACAGGAAACATTGCCTGACCGTTTAATACACCTTTAAGATTCAGGAGGCAAACACCGTAGCGTGCTGCAGCTGCTCCTTGTGCTCCCACCGAGCCACCCACTCTGCCGCTGTTGCTGCAGAACAGCCACATTGCTTATGCCCAGCTTGTAGTAGCCAACTGATCCAACGGATCCAGCAGAGTTGGTCTCGGGAGCCACTAAGAGTGATCGATCGCCAAACTGTTCCTGAGTCCCAACCAACCAGCCAGCAGCCGCTCGTCAAGTGACCCGCGCAGCGCCATTCAGCCAACGGCACGGAGGAGTGCTGTGGAGCAACCACACCCTCTCAGCTTTTGCGTCAGAATATCTGCTTTTGCTTGCGGCCACAAACGAGTTCCGCCAACTCCGCGCAAACCCCACAGTCACTCGACGGGCTATGTGTTGCACACAAGCAGATAGCCTTGAGACCTGTGCGTCTTCGTCAGTAGGTAGCACGATGATCATCCTCCCATCATTTCCGACGCCCACGATGCGTAAAAAAATGATGCAGAATACACGATGCACCCATTTGGGGTAGCCCATTGAGCCCCAGGTTTTGCGTTGCAGAGTTGCCTTGGTCGCGGCTGCTAGTCAGCTCGTTGAAACCCTGTGGTTCCTCGCTGCATACGATAGGGCAGTCACAAAACACCACAGAGGCTTTGGTTTGGGGCGCATCAGCGGCCGCAGTCTTATTGTTTTTTTTTCTCTTTACATGCTATGCTTTCCAATGCTCCGTATGCAGCGGTTCTGAAAGGCATCAACAGACTGCCCCGTTTGGCGTTCGCCAGCAATCAACGAACATACACTCACCGACAAGCCGAATTAGAACAGAACCCACTACGTTGTCACCATCTTCCGTCTTAAGCTCCAGTAGCCTCTCTATGGAGGATCGACCTGCAACGCCGTCAGATTTGTCTCAACGGAGAATGTTAGCAGGCGAAAATCATGATTGCAGGAATACAGAATTCCTGAAGAGAATGAGTGTATGGGGAATTAAGGAAGTGATGAAGCGGTCTTCTGGCCTTACTGTCTCCATTCTCGAAAAGTGCTGTCACATCCGTAAGGAAGTTTTGCAGGTATTTCGCGGCGGTTTGCAAAATCTGCGGCACACATGGAAATCGGTAAGATATAAAGCGTAGGGTGATTGTCATCGGCTGGAAGAACGGGACCTCCTCCGGGGAGCAATGACCAGTAATCCAACCATATGAGCTCATCCCTCATGACTGCCGCCCAACGTACTCTTTCGGTTGGCCAACCAGAAGAGGAAACCTGCAACAAACACGCAGTATTGAGGGCGCTTAGAGCAAGCAGAGCGAAATCAAGCAGCCGCCGCCTTTTTTTGCCGAAGCTGAGACACACTGCATAGTGTATACGTGCTCTTCTCACCCTGTGCCAAACACCAATATCGAAAGTAAAGCCTCTACAGGTTGTCGTAAATCGCCCTGTAAATTTCATCCCACAGCAGCACAGGAAGACAGCATATCTAGAAGATATCAGGTCTCTAGCCATCTAGTGCCGACATGAAGCTGTGCTTAGCATTGTCGCTTTCGCTGCAGTCATGGACAAATAAAACAACTGGAACACGTTCAGACAAACCCTCACTTGTTATACCTTTGAGCAGGACGATTGCGCAGTGCATAAACCGTGCGTGGATGCAGGCTATATTTAAAGACTGAACCACCAGCAGAATTCTCACCGAAACGGCCAGGTCTCTGGTCGTGTCTAAGATCGTCAAGAAAGAACATCACGCTGTTCAGGTCTTCTCTCGTCTGCAAGCAGACGGGTGCACAAACATCACACCGCAAAGTTTGTGTAAGGCTTCCCAACCGCAGAAACAACAGACACAGCAATAACAACACCGACTTCTGAGTTTCTGGAGCTTTCGTCCCTTAAGCTCAAAAGCAAATCCCAAAACGAATATTGCAGCAAACGCAACTACAAACCGCTCCCCGTTCCCTTCCCTCTCTTTTTCCTGCACTTAAATGCTCTCCGCTGGCTCTGAGACACGCACGACGTACCTGCTGTTCGCTGATAAGTGGGAAGAGGTACAGCCAGCCTTTCGTTGCAGCAGGCTGAAGGAACGACTCAGTCGCTTCCTTTACGGATGCGACTGCTTGCTTTATCCCGGTCGTCAAAGGACTAGCCGCCTCGGTAAGAGCGACCGCAGCTGTTTGTTGGTCTGCTCCTGCTATGCGATGTGGCAATTCTTCAGCTGCATTCGATTGCCCAGTTCCCCAGCCT